TCTGTACCATAATTTGGTTATCCAGTCTTCTGGGCACTTAGGTTGTTTCCATCTCTTTGCTATTGTGAACAGTGCTGCAGTGAACATGGGTGTGCATATATCTGTTTGTGTCCTGGCTCTCACTTCTTTAGGATATATATCTAGTAACGAGATTGCTGGATCAAATGGTATTTCTAATTCCAACTTTTTAAGGAATCACCATACTGATTTCCACAGTGGTTGTATCATCTTATAGACCCATCAGCAGTGTATGAGAGTCCCAATCTCTCCTCATTCTTGCCAGCATTTGCTATTTTCTGTCTTGTTGAACTTCTCTATTAGTGTTGGGCTGAGATGGTATCTCATTGTTTTGATTTGCATTCCTCTAATGGCTAAGGATTGTGAAGATTTCTTCATTTGTTGGCTGCCTGAATATCTTCTTTGGTGAAGTGTCTATTCATGTCTTCTGCCCATTTTTTAATTGGATTGTTTGTCTTTTTGATGTTGAGGAGTTGGAGTTTTCTATAAATTTTAGAGATAAGTCCCTTGTCAGAAATGTTGTTGCCAAATATTTTTTCCCAATCTGTAGATTCTCTTTTTGCTCTTTTGGAGAAGTCTTTGGAAACACATAAAAATTTAATTTTTAGACAGTCCCAATCATCTAGTTTAGCTTCTGCTCTTTGTACATTTTGGGTTATGGTTGATAGTCTATTTATGCCATAAACTAGAGCTCCTAAGCCCTGGTATTTTCAGTAGCCTCTTTTGTATGTGAGAACTGGACAATGAATAAGGAATACTGAAGAAGAGTTGATGCTTTTGAATTGTGGTATTGGTGCAGAATACTGAGAGTAACATAGACTGCTAAAAGAACTAACAAATCTGTCCTGGAAGAAGTGCAGCCAGAATGCTCCTTGGAAGCGAGAATAGCCAGACTTCGTCTTACCTACTTTGGTCATGTTGTCAGAAGGGACCATTCTCTGGAGAAGGATATCATGCTTGGTAAAGTGGAGGGTCAGCAACAAAGGAGAAGACCCTCAACAAGACGGATTGACACAGTGGCTGCAACTATGGGCTCAGGTACAGCAGAGATCATGAGCTTGGCACAGGACTGAGCAGTGTTTTGTTCTGTTGTATATAGGGTCACTATGAGTTGGAGATGATTCAACAGCACCTAACAACAACAAAAACAACAAGCTTCCCCCTATTTTTTCCTTGATGAACTTTATAGCTTTAGATTTCACATTTAAGTCTTTGATCCATCTGGAGTTAGTTTTGGTGTATAGTGTGAGATGTGGATCTTGTTTCATTTATCTGTAAACAGATAACCAATTTTGCCAGCACCGTTTATTAAAGAGTCTATCTCTTTCTCATTTAATGGATTTTGGCCCTCTGTCAAAGATCAGCTGACCATAGGTCGATGTATCTATTTCCGGGTTTTCAATTCTGTTCCACTGGTCTGTGTGTCTGTCATTGTACCAATACCAGGCTGTTTTGACTAGTGTAGCTATGTGGTAGGTTTTGAGATCCAAGAGTGTGAGACTTCCTACTTTGTTCTTCTTCAGTAGTGCCTTATTCAAGATCTCTTTCCTTTCCATATATTCTGGTTATCTAGTGCTGCTCTGACAAAATACCACCGATGGGATGGCTTGAAGAAACAGGAGTTTATTCTCTTACAATTTGGAGGCTTTAAGTCTGAGTTCAAAATGCCAGGCTCTAGGGGCTGGGTGAGAGCTCCTCAACCTTGGGCTTCAGCTCTGCCTCCTGCTCCTGGTCCACTGAAGCTGGAGGATTTTCTTCACTCAGCTGCTGGATGCTGAGGCTGAGAAGCCCAAGGTTGACAAGTAAAAAGGCACAGTCCCAATGTTACCAAACCACACGGCAGGCCATTAATTCAAGTCCATTGAAAGTCCTCAGGTATGGTAGGCTGCTGAACAATGATATAGCTGTATGTAGGGTTCAAGTGTTCCATAAGCTAGTGACCATTCCCAAAGCTCTTTCTTGTATATGGGAAGCAAACCACATACCCAAAGCAGCTACTCAGCTGCTCCAAAGAGTCCACCATGGAGTTAATTACCAATCTCACCATGGGGAATAACTACATTCAGCTGCCCAGCCACTCAACCAAGCCCAGCCAAGTTGACACACAAACTTAACTATCACACCATATAAAATAAAGTGATTGATTTTTCCATATCTTTCAAGAAAGTTGATGGTATCTAGATCAGGATTGCATTGAATGTATAGATCACTTTGGGTAGTACTGACATTTTCACAATGCTCAATCTTCCTATTCATGAGCATGGTATGTTCTTCCATTTGTGTAGATCTCTTATGGTTTCTTGAAGTAGTGTTTTGTAGTTTTCTTTGTATAGGTTTTTTGTGTCCCTGGTAAGTTTTTTTTTTTTTTTTTTTGGTAGCTATTGTAAATGTGGAGCTCTGGTAGCATAGTGGCTAAGACACTTGCCTGCTAACCAGATGGCTGGAGGTTCAAACCCACCAGCCACTCCTCGGAAGGAAGGTTGGGCAATCCTACTTCCATAGAGATACTGCCTCGGAAACCCAAGGCGGGGTCGCTATGAGTCGGGTTTGACTCGGCACATAACAACAACAACAACATTGTAAATGTATTGTTAAGGAGCTCTGGTGGTACAGTGCCTAAGGCATTTGATTGCTAATCAGAACATTGGTGGTTTAAACCCACCAGCTGCTCCATGGAAGGAAGATGGGGCAATCTACTTCCATAAAGATTTTCCACCTTGGAAACCCAATGGTGGTTGCTATGAGTCGGAAACAACTGGATGGCAATGAGGTGGTTTTTTTTTTTTTTTTTTTAATTGTAAATGGTATTGATTTCCTTATTTCCTTTCCAGCAATCTCTTTGCTGGTGCAGAGGAATCCAACTGATTTTTATATGTTGATCTTGTACCCTGCCACTATGCTAAATCTCTCAATTAGTTCCAGTAACCTTTTTCCTGAGTCTCTTGGGTTTTCTATGTATGGGATCATATCATCTGAAAATAGGGATAGTTTTACTTCTTCCTTACCAATCTGTATGCCTTTTATTTCCCTTTCTTGCCTTATTACCCTGACTAGGACTTCCAATACAATGTTGAATAGAAGTGGTGATAGAGGACATCCTTGTCTGGTTCCCATTTGCAAGGGGAATGCTTTCAGTCTTTCTCCATTGAGAATAATGTTGGCTGTTGGTTTTGTATATATGCCCTTTATTATGTTGAGGAATGTCCCTTCTATTCCTATTTTTCTGAGAGTTTTTATTAGGAATGGGTGTTGGATTTCATCAAATGCTTTTTCTGCATCGATTGCTATGATCATGTGGTTCTTTTATATTACTTATGTGATGGATTACGTTGATTGTTTTTCTGATGTTCAACCATCCTTGCATACCTGGTATGAACCCCACTTGGTCATGATGTACTGTATTTTTGATTCATTGTTGGAGTCTATTGGCTAGAATTTTGTTGAAGATTTTTGCATCTATATTCATGAGGGATGTTGGTCTATAGTTTTCCTTTTCAGCAGTCTTTGACTGGTTTTGGTATCAAGATTATGCTTGCCTCATAAAGTGAATTTGGGAGGATTCTATCCTTCTCAATGTTCTGGAAGAGTGTGAGTAGGATTGGTGTCAGTTCTTGAAACATTTCGTAGAATTCTCCAGTGAAGCTATCTGGGTCAGGACTTTTATTTGTTGGTTGCCTGGTACCTTTTAAAGGCTCAGTAAGCATTTGTGGAAGAAAGGAAGGAAGGGAGAGATATTAGATAATAGCAACCTAAGAGCTTTACATGTTGTTGTTGTTGTTGTTGTTTGCCATTGAGTTGGACCCAACTCATAGCGACCCCTCCTTGGGTTTCCGAAGCAGTTATCACTACAGAAGTAGATTGCCCAACCTTCCTTCTGAGGAGTGGCTGGTGGGTTTGAACTTCCAGCCTTCTGGTTAGCAGTCAAGGCCTTAACCGCTATGCTACCAGAGCTCCTAGTGCTTTACGTAGATCATTTCATTAACCTCCTAATAAACTCATGAAAAGGAGCTCTGGTGGTGCAGCGGGTAAGGCATTTGGCTGCTAACCAGAAGGTCAGCAGTTTGAACCCACCAGCCATTCCAAGGAGAAAGATGAGGCAATCTTCTTCCATAAGGATTTACAGTCTTGGGAACCCAATGGGGCAATTCTATCTGTCCTACAGGATCATAATGAGTCACAATCAACTTGATGACAATGGGTTGTGTTTTTTTTTTTTGGGGGGGGTAGTTAACCTCATGAAATAGAAACTACTAAACCTTTTGTCTAGTTAAGGAAAATGAGGCTCAGAGAAATTAAGTAAATTTCCTGATGTCACACACAGCTAGGCAAGTTGGCAAAGCCAGGTTTAAACCCAGGCACTCTGACTCCAGGAAAAAAAAAAAAACAAACCCACTGCCATCCAGTCCATTTTGACTCATAGTCGAACCCCATTGGGTTTCCAGGGGGTAAATTATTACGGCAGTAGATTGCCCAGTCTTGCTTCTGCTGAGTGGCTGGTGTGCTTGAACCCACAACCTTCCGGTTAGCAGGCACATGCCTTAAGCACTGTGCTACCAGAGCTCCCTGACTCTAGAAGCTGAGCGTTTAACACTGTGTTACATCCTTGCTGGAAAAGCTGTTCTGGCTGCAGCAGAGAAGGTGGGGAAAAGACTTAAGGTTGAGAAAAGGAGGGCAGCTAGTTTAGCTAAAGATTTATAACTGTGGCCCTATCTCCACATTACCCTGACTTTTGGCTCACCTTCCTATTCCAGGTTTCCACTAGGCTACTGATGAAGCTGTGATCAAAGGGATCCAACCACTGACTGCTAGCTCCCCTTGCTGCTCTCTGCCTATGCTGGCTTTGGGACCCTCTCTGTGCAGCCTCCAGGCCCCCACCCTGGGGGTGAACATGATGCCACAACCCTAGTGTGCCCTGCGATGACCCCTGCCTAGCTCCTTCTCCCACATAACCCCTGTCTAGCTCCTTCTCCCACTTAAGCAAAATGGTGGACAACGCCACAGCCAACACCAATACTACCAACGTCTCTGTTCTCCTGTGTCCAGACTACCGACCCACTCACCGCCTGCATACAGTGGCCTACAGCCTGGTGCTGGCTGCAGGGCTCCCCCTCAACGCGTTGGCCCTCTGGGTCTTCCTGCGTGCATTGCGCGTGCACTCTGTGGTCAGTGTGTACATGTGTAACCTGGCGGGCAGCGACCTGCTCTTCACCCTGTAGCTGCCTGTGCGCCTCTCTTACTACGTACTGCACCACTGGCCCTTCCCAGACCTTCTGTGCCAGATAGCGGGTGCCATCTTCCAGATGAACATGTACGGCAGCTGTATTTTCCTCGCACTCATCAACGTGGACCGCTACGCGGCCATCGTACACCCGCTGCGGTTGCGCCACCTGCGGCGGCCCCACGTGGCCCGGCGCATCTGCCTAGGCGTGTGGGCGCTCATCCTGGTGTTTGCGGTGCCCGCCGCCTACGTGCACACGCCCTCTCGCTGCAGATACCAGGATGGAGAGGCACGCCTTTGCTTCGAGAGTTTCAGCGTCGAGCTGTGGAAGGGCCGGCTGCTGCCGCTTGTGCTCCTGGCTGAGGCGTTGGGCTTCCTGCTTCCCTTGATGGCCATGGTCTATTCGTCGGTTCGGGTCTTCTGGACGCTGGCGCGACCCGAGGCCACACAGAGCCATCGGCGGCGGAAGACTGTGCGCCTTTTATTGGTCAACCTCGTCATCTTCCTGCTGTGCTTCGTGCCCTACAACTCCACGTTGGCTGTCTATGGGCTGCTTCGGGGCCAACTGGTGGTGGCGAGCGAGGCGGCCCGCTGCCGGTTGCGCCAGGTGCTGATGGTCATGGTACTGCTGGCTGGCGCCAACTGTGTACTGGATCCACTGGTGTACTACTTCAGCGCCGAGGGTTTTCGCAACACCCTGCGCGGCCTGGGCACTCTGCGCCGGACTAGGACTTTGGCTGCCACTGGAGCTCAGGAGACGCTGGCTGAACAGCCCGCTGAGCCCACCCACACCAACAGACCAGATGCCACCAGCCAGGCGCTGCTCAGGCCCTCCTACCCCCGGGCTCCCTTTACCCAGTGCCCCCAGGATTCAGCCCTCTGAATGCACGTGGTCATCATACCATCAACCTTTTCCTATCCCCTCAGCATCTTCCCGTGTCACAGGGTGCAGGGTGTGCACATGAAATGGTGTGGGCACCTGGACTTCTGGATGGCAATCCCAGCTCATAAATGCAGAAGGGAACAAAATATGGAATCAGTGGGCACAGAAAAGGAAGCATGCTGGTGGAAATTCTTTAAATTGGTGGTGATGGTGAGCACAGAGGTTCTCTTCCCCAGTGGTAGGAAGTGATGCAGTGAGCCTGCCCTTGTAGGGACACAAGATTGGATGAGATGCCTTTGGCATAGGAGCTGGTAGATGGAGGAGAAAATGAGTACCTTGGATTTAGACCCACCACAGGAGTCTGAAAGGAGTTCTGGTGGCACAGTGGGTAAGGCATTTGGCTGCCAACCAGAAGATCAGTGGTTCAAACCTAACAGCCGCTGTGCAGAAGGAAGATGGGGCAATCTACTTCCGTGAAGATTTACAGCCTGGGAAACCCTATGGGGGCGGCTATTGAGTCAGAATTGACTTGATGGCAGTAGTTTTTTTTTTTTTTTTCTTTCTTTCTTTTGTACAGCAGTCTGAAAGCTGCAGAGCCTCAGGCCTTGGTGGACTAAAGTTCTGAGAAGCTCAACAGCTGACTTCTCTGCGGAGCTTAGGTCCGTGGAAGCCACCTCCTCTTATCTTAGCCTGGGCATCCTCTGCTCAGCATGGAGGTTCAGTAAAGATGGAGGGAAGCAAGAGTTTATTTCATATGGACTGGATTTGTTCCCTTCTTGTTTCAGTGACTTGCAACAATTTATACCTGACACCCAGCATGGTGCAGTTAGAGGTAGGCAAAACTGTGATTTAGACAAGTCTTGTTGGTCCCCTCCACTGAGATACTGATCCCCCTTCCCCTTTCTAGATCATCCCTTCTTCCTCCATGTTACTTCGCCTTTCAGGGCCTCCTCTATTCTAGGTCCTTGATGATATTTTTCTCCCTCTCTATGCCTGAAACGAGAGCAAGGAGCAAATTCTTTCTTTGTATTAAAGGGGCCTGGGACCCCTTTATGCTTAAAAATTGATCCCAAAGAGCTTTTGTTTATGCTTTGTTCTGTTAACATTTACTGTATTAGAAATTAAAATGAGTAAGTTTCTAAAGCACAAGAATACACAAGCACACACATCCATCAGCTATGAGAACAATATTGTCATCACATATCATGAAGCCTCTGGAAAACTCCACTATGTACTTGTAATAGAATGTGAGTGAAAAAGGAAAAGTGGCATCTTAGTACTAGCTGTTGTCATTGTTATATGCTGTCGAGTCGGCCCCAACTCATAGCAACCCCTCCTTGGGTTGCCAAGGCAGTATCACTACGGAGGTAGATTGCCCAACCTTCCTTCCGAGGAGTGGCAGGAGGGTTTGAACAGCCAGCCTTCTGGTTAGCAGTCACGTACCTTAGGCACTATGCTACCAGAGCTCCTATCTTAGTAGTAGTAGTAGTATGAAAATTGTTTTGACCTCATTACCTTCCTCAAAGGATCAGTCCCTGGATCATACTTTGAGAACCATACTTGTACTATAAAGTATTACACAGTTCATGTGTAGCTTCTTCCCAAGGCATTATGTATTTATATACAGTGTGTGTTTTTCTCAAGGTGGGGAAGGGAGGGCAGAATAAGAACAGCACACCAACTGGAACATTACTTTAAGCTTATTGTGCAGCAGCCTTGAGGTAAGGGTGAAACTTGTCACAAAAACTTGGGTAGGGGAGGAGCTGTGTCATAGCCAGAATGCAAGTTTTTACAAGAAAAAAAGAAAAAAGACCAGGTTTCCTGGTCTGATAGAGCCTGGTGAAACCCCTGAGACTATGGCCCCTAGCTGGCCTTCAGGTCTGGAATTGAACTCACTCCTGTGGCTTCCACCAAATAATAGACAGGCATATGAGCTGAACATTTACATCAAGTAGATACATTCCTTGGAGAGAACAGAAAGGCAGTGTTTGCACAGAGAGACAGCTCATGGGGCAGGAGTGCATGAGAGGGAAGGACACAGGGAAGAGGTAACTACAGGGAGGAAGTGGGAAGAGAGCTGTTATATTGTGGAAAATTGCAGTCAATGTCATGAGACAAAATGTGTATGAACTTCTGTGTGGAAAATGAATTTGCTCTGTAAACTTTCGCCCAAATCACAATAAAATTTTTTTTAAAAAAAGTTTTCACAAGGAAATAAGAGTGGGAACAGGACCAGCATAGGTTGTCTGTTCTTAGCAAGTTGAGGGTAAGGGAAATGGAAGACTCGTTCATATGCCACCTACTGCTTCCCTCCTTCTTTATTCAAGTTTCGGGGTGGGGGAGGCTGGAGGGGCTGCAGAATTGATACTATGACATCTTAAGGCCCTGACATTAGTGAGGGAGTTGTCCCTGTTCATGTGTCCTGTCTCAATACGGTACCTTTCTCTCTGTGTGTGTGTGTGTGGGGGGGCAATGTCAGGATTTTCTTGTTTGTGACCCCTTGTGGTTGGAGTAAGTAAACCTTTTCTGTGTTTTATGTGGTGGCTCCAGATGGTGATTTACAGGGGTAAAATGACCCCTGGTGGCCAAACTAAAGAACTGACCGAGATTCCTCAGTGATAGCCAGGAAGTCTGGCCTTCCTGAATACACCTGCTTATCTCCACTTCAGCCTCTGGGTTTAGGACTCATGCCCTTTCTGTCCTGGGAGTACCAGCAGCACCTAATCTTGTAGTCCAAAGCCTCAGCACTTTGTCCTACCCATATGGATTGAATTGAACACATTTAAATATTTAAAAATTACTTGAGCACTTTTATGTGCAGCTATGTGAGTGAAGTCCAAAGTAATTAAAACTCTCAAAGCACATACGACGCACTGTTGTGCAGTTGGATCTGGCTCATAGTGACCCCTCCTTGGGTTTCCGAGATGGTATCACTACGGAAGTAGATTGCCCGATCTTCCTTCCAAGGAGTGGCTGGTGAGTTCGAACCACCAGTCTTCTGATTAGCAGTCAAATGCCTTAGGCACTATGCCACCAGAGCTCCTCTCATAGCACATATCACCTTCTAACATACTATATAACTTATTTATGGTAAATTTTTATAGTTTATTATCTGTCTCTTCCCCTCCCACCCAAGTAGAATGTAAGCTCCTTAGGGGCAGTGATTTTTGTCTGTCTAATTCTCTGATGTATCCCAACATCAAGAACAGTGCCTGGCACAGAATAAGTGCTCAATAAATATTTGTTGAATTAATGAATGGTTGGATCTTGCTGTGATGTAGTTTACTATCTAGTGTAGAACAAGTGAACAATAACTATAATGCAAGGCAGAAGATACAAGAACACAGGGTAAGTTGGCAGCTGGTTTAGTGGACAGTGTGGAGCCCCTGAAGGTTCTTTAGTGACATATTGCTCACCCTGATATACTGTGTAGGATAAATTGTAGGGAAATAAGATGGGGGAAGTCTTAAGAGAAGAAAGAAAGACAAGGCAGCTATTAAAATAGTCCAGGAAAAGTGTGACCACAACCATGGTAGTAAATGGAAATGGTTTGTCTCCAGTGTGAAATCTCTGGTATTCAAGATCTGGTGGGACATTTCCCCACATTCAATATATTCTAAAGGTTTCCATCACCACAACTGAGGCAAGAATAGATGAAGGAGATGCTGCAGGCAGAGAAGAAATGAGAAGAACCTAACAAATAACAGACTGGAAGTTTGGGAAGCCTGTGACCACTTCCATTTTCAGTTATAGAGTGGGCAGTATCATGGAGGCAAGAGGTGCAACATAGACCTCTCACCTGATGCCCTGGAGTTACTCCATTTGAAGTCTAGAAAGGGAGGAAGAGACAGTCTTAGAAAGGGAAGAACATTAACAGTTTTTGTTTCCTTGTTTGTGTGTGTGTGTTTAATACTCTCTGTCTGCTGGATTTCAATTTAGTGCTCAAGATGCATTAATTATTATAAAAAACACTCTGAATTAGGTACATTTATCCCCATTTTAGGAGCTCTGGTAGCATAGTGCCTAAGGCACTTGACTGCTAACCAGGAGGCTGGAGGTTCAAACCCACCAGCCACTCCTCGGAAGGAAGGTTGGGCAATCCTACTTCCATAGTGATAACTGCCTCAGAAACCCAAGGAGGGGTCGCTAGGAGTCGGGGCCGACTTGATGGCAAATAACAACAACATCCCCATTTTACAGTCTAACCTTAGAGAAGCCAAGATCTCACAGTCACACAGGTGGCACAATATATATTTGGTTTCCAAACTCCTATTTTTTGCACCCCCTCTTCCAGGTACCTCCCCCTTCTGTTCCTGGCTCTATTATATTCCACCCCTGGCTTCCTTTCTTTTCTTTCCCTCCTCAAGTAGACCACCTCTCTCCCCTTCCCTGTCCACAGTGAATCTTCTGTATGATTTCTGACCCCCTTTCCCAGGTCTTCCTCCATGCTTATTACCCACTTACCCTACAGTACACCCACCCCTTCCCATACCACATGCCCCAGTCCCCTGTGCTCAATACAGAGTGACAATGTGAGAGCTGAAAACTGGACTCAGTCAGGGTTCCAATTGAATTGGGCCCTCAAACCCCATCAAAAGGCTCAGGAAGGAGTAGTTTGGCAGTGGAGGTGGCACACACAGGATGGATCAGTCTTCATACAGTTGGTCATGATACCCACCCCAACCTAGAATGTATCCAGCATCTCTTTAGTGCAGCACTCTTTATTGTCTGCCATCTACAGTGACTAGGGGATTTCACTTCGATTCTCCATTTATCAAAGCCCGTCTCCTCTGTAGGAGGTCCCTCCACATGATGGGGGGGTGTGTGTGACAGTCACTTAGTCTTGAAATAAAACAAATTTAGGAGAACCAGGGCAGAGGTGAGGGATCCTAAAGTAGGGCAGGAGATACCTCCCTCTCAGCCCCAAACCATCTCCAGGAAAATCCCTGCTGGGTTGCTACCTGTGGTTTCATGGAAGAAAAGGGCAAGAGAAGAGTAAA